TTGGTGAATGCCACAAATTCTCCTAAATCACTCGTACGCACAACTTAAGAACAAATCTGTGTGTACGAACGGTTCTCGCATGAGGTCCAATGTTCTGTCCTAAACGTTACCCAAAGACTACTTCATATTTTTGGAGGACACTTTTGTTTTAGTGAGACGTGCATCACGCCTGTTAGCAGGTAACGCAGGTACAGGAAGCAACAGCGGCCAAAATACCCCAGAAACTCACCCAAATAAGCGAACTCTGTGAGATTCAGTGTTTCATACTGGATTACTTTGGTTAATTCTGCGATTCTGTCTGTGTTTCTTTAGCAACTTATAAACAGAAGTGGAGCAGGAGAAGGTGGATTCTGATTGGCTGTTGTCGCGCACATTTCCGCCATGTTTGATTGAGTACAGAGGCTCACAGCTGATCACCGTGATCGGCCTGAATTTTTTCCTCAATCAATAATTGCGATGAAATAATCGCCCAGCCCTACTGTCACACAGTAATAAAAATAAGAAAACAGAAAAAATGTTTGGCAATTAGTTAAAAAAAATGTGCCAACTCCACCCCATTAGTTATTCAATTCAACTCAGTTCAGTTCAGTTCAGTTCAAGTCAAGTCATGATTGGGTTTAGGAGTTTTGCTTTCCCTGCTGGCTCAGACAACCTCACTGACCTTCTCCCTGAGGAGTGACTTSCTCTTTATTAGCCAGTTTGAACTGGGGGCTCTGTCATGTTAATGCTTTCAATTAAACCAAGAGCTGAAAATAAATGGCTGAATGGACAAAGCCAGAGATCTGAGATGAGCCATCAGCGTATGTATGTCAAAGGATTGTAAGGTTAGCTGAGGACACACAGTTGTCTCATGGAAATGTGTTTACACTTGCTGGCCCTCCTGCTTCCCATTTCTACTGCAACTAGGCCTGTCACGATAACAAATTTTGCTGGGCGATTAATTGTCTCACAAATTTATTGCGATAAGCGATAATATTGCCTGGTGACCGTTTTACAACTAATAATTATAAAAGCATAATATGTAAGTGTAATTAATCAATAATCTTTAATTTTTAAAGAATGTTTAAAGAAAGTGGACTCCCAGTCTCTAACAAAAAATGCACTTGAATAAAAAAACAAAGAACAACAAAATGTAAATTAAACACCACACACAACTAAGACAGTAAATAAACAATATTAAAGAGCAGCATCTCTTTAGAGATGAAGCAAACTACACAGCCTGGTGAGGACCCACTGTTTCTTATGGGGACATAAGCCCAGTTCACATCCCATTTAGGGATGTGAACTGGGCTTACTGTATGTCTCCATAAGAAACAGTGGGTCCTCACCAGGCTGTGTAGTTTGCTTCATCTCTAAAGAGATGCTGCTCTTTAATATTGTTTATTTACTGTCTTAGTTGTGTGTGGTGTTTAATTTACATTTTGTTGTTCTTTGTTTTTTTATTCAAGTGCATTTTTTGTTAGAGACTGAGAGTCCACTTTGTTAAACATTCTTTTAAAAATGAAAGTTTATTGATTTATTACACTTACATATTAACGGTCACCAGGCAATATTATCGCTTATCGCAATAATTTGTGAGACAATTAATCGCCCAGCAAATTTTGTTATCGTGACAGGCCTAAGGACGCGCAGGCCGATGTATTATGAAAATGATCGGTGACAGAGTGGG